TGTCTTTCTTATGTAAAGAAATCTGGAACATCATTGTGAGTGTAAGTGTGCTGAGGGCTCTTGCATAATTTCACCTCTGAAAATCCAATCAATGAAAAATGGCTTTAACTGTCAGCTAACAGTTGAAGCAAAAATCCTCTAGAAAATCTTTACATACAAGCACAGTTTTGAAGATTTCAAATGGGATTTAACATTGGAGAAAACCTTCCAGATGATAATACAGTATTTTGAATAGCCAAGCATATCTTTTTATTAGACTTTAGTGCTTTTTATAATGATTTATGAATCTGGTCATGAATTCCTGGCTCGCTCAAGTTGGTGACTATAGCATTCTACTTATATTGCTTTCCCATCTCACAAAAGAGAAAGTTGGCCTTGCTTCAGTCCAGATTTGTCCCCAAATAAATCACAGTGTGTTACTGGGGAAACAGCAAATTAAATTTTGCATGCACAACCATCTATACCAGCTTGCAACCACAAGGAAACTGATAGTAGGAATGGTGACCATGCCCTGCAGTCCACACAAGTAATCACAAACCAGATTATTACATTTTCTTTTTTGTTGCAAAAAGAAAGAATTCTGACTTCAAAGCCTGAGAAGATCAGCTCATACAAAGATGTATTATTCACGTCTTCACTGCCGAGAACCTACCCATGGAGTTGAAGGCCAAAACATCTGAAGACCCACAGGTTGAGAACCACAATTCTAAAACATGTGTTTTAATATCCTGATTGCAATATTTCCATACCCCACAACATTTCAGAGATGTAATCAAACCACATGCAGTTAAGAGATATCAGAGTATGGGCAACATGGCAAAAGTTATTAATGAGAAAAAAAAGAGACCAGAAGAGGTTGCCATAACTTGCTACTTCATCACACTAAATAATGAATTCACTTTAAATTTGGTTTCTGTCTTCTGCAGAATTCCGGGGTTTGTAGTTTAGTGAGGCTGTTAAAGCCTCCTTCCTAAACTACAAACCCCAGAATTCTACAAAAGGCAGAAACCAGATTTAAAGTGGATTTATTCTCTAGTGTGATGAGGGTTTGGCCTTAGCCTACAGGGAAGAACAATATTCTGCTCCTCCTTTCTTCTTTGCCCCACTGAATTAACTGGTCTTGAATTCAGTTTGAAGCAAGGGAAGGAAACCAGACACAAAGGTAGAAAGAAGAAGGAGGAGAGAAATCTGGGACATTTTAAAAGCAGCTGAAGAAGTTAGAATTGAGATTATCCCTGCAAATTTGGGACAACTGGAGGATGGTGAGTGAGCACTTTCCAAATATTAAAAATCCTTCAAATATTGAAAATAAAAATGGCTCTTACTGTAGCCTATCATATAAAAAGTTTTTTTCAAAAAATATAACAATTAAAGAACACATAAATAGATGGGTTTAATTTCACAGTGGACATAGTTGTGCTGTCTCTTAGAGACAACTATTGTAACACAAAGACGTTAAACAATATTCGGTATCTTAGTAGGTCCTTATGCAAAAGAGAATGGAATTCAGTGCCCTGATATGTTTTACCAAGATACCAAATGAGGAAAAACTTGCTCATATTGTGCAATGGAAAAAACACTGATAGATTATACAGCTACGTAATATAATATGCCCAATAACTCAAAAGGAAGCTCATTAGCTGCATAATGTAACATTGGAAATTCAGTTGTAGATAAGAGATGCCCAACTTCTGGGAGCCATTTTTCACTTGACTCCAGTCCCTTGACTCCCATTTTTTTTAAAAATAGACACTTTTAGTTTCTTTTAAAATTCTGGCTAATCACAAACTCCATTGGCATGTTTTTTTCCAGCATAGGGAGCTGAACAGGTAACAGGTAAGTTATCAGTTTTCAACAGTGGATCTGTTTATTGTGCAATTCTTAGCCATTCTTTCCTATATTTAGCATTTTCGGATTAAGATATTCATTAAAAAGTAACACATTATGAATGTGGCACTCATAAAACAGTTTGTGTAATGCCTTTTAAAAATTAATGCTTACATGAAAACATTCAGTTTATAAAATTATGTCCCAAGCTTTGCACCTTTCATTCCTTTTCACATTATGAATTACACTTCATCTTGAGCATGTTGGTAGACAAGGTGGCATCAATGCACAGAAAATAAATAAACAGCAACACGACTGTGAGGAGTGAAGTTAGACTCGGATAGGGACAATCTTGATGGCAGTAACAGCAGCTTGAAGTTAGGGGGCATGAACCAGAAATAAACAGCAAATACACAATTTAAAAAGCATACAGTACGCATTGAATACAAGAATCTGGCAAAGAACATGACAGCCTAGAAGCAAGGAGCAGAACTGCAAAATAAAAACAGAAACGGATTCTGTGAAGCAAGCCTGGAAAGGAAAAGAGATTCAAAACAGAACTTCCATAGACTTAGAGCCCAGATTTTTGTATTGTAGATAATGAACAGAGATGAAGACTAACAATATTATTGCACTATGGTTTAATGGTGAATTTAGGCATTCCAAATCCATCCTTGTAGAAATCAAAAACACACTGAGATAGTCCCTCTCCAGATTGCCTGATTCCCCTAATAACGCTCTTAAAATACAGTCACATTCTCTGCTTACCACACCATCTCATAGAATACACTTCCCAAGCCATATATTGCCCTTCATAGGCCATGACCTCCCATTTTTTTACCAGAAGGACCATGCAATTTCACAATTTAGGTCTTTATTGCCAGAGTCCACCATTTTATGTTTTCATTACTGTGCCATTTCACAGTAGCGCAGTAATACACTTTTGAGGTTTGTCGTGTAGGTGTAAATCTCTCTGTTTTGTTGTTCATTCGTTCAGTCGTCTCCGACTCTTTGTGACCTTATGAACCAGCCCACGCCAGAGCTCCCTGTCGGCCGTCACCACCCCCAGCTCCTTCAAGGTCAGTCCAGTCACTTCAAGGATGCCATCCATCCATCTTGCCCTTGGTCGGCCCCTCTTCCTTTTACCTTCCCTTTCCCCAGCATAATTGTCTTCTCTAGGCTTTGCTGTCTCCTCATGATGTGGCCAAAGTACTTCAACTTTGTCTCTAGTATCCTTCCCTCCAATGAGCAGTCGGGCTTTATTTCCTGAAGTATGGACTGGTTGGATCTTCTCGCAGTCCAAGGCACTCTCAGAACTTTCCTCCAACACCACAGTTCAAAAGCATCTATCTTCCTTCGCTCAGCCTTCCCTAAGGTCCAGCTCTCACATCCGTAGGTTACTACAGGGAATACCATGGCTTTGACTAGGCGGATCTTTGTTGCCAGTGTGATGTTTCTACTCTTTACTATTTTATTGAGATTGGACATTGCTCTCCTCCCAAGAAGTAAGCGTCTTCTGATTTCCTGGCCACAGTCTGCATCTGCAGTAATCTTTGCACCTAGAAATACAAAGTCTGTCACGGCCTCCACATTTTCTCCCTCTATTTTCCAGTTGTCAATCATTCTTGTTGCCATAATCTTGGTTTTTTTGATGTTTAGCTGCAACCCAGCTTTTGCGCTTTCTTCTTTCACCTTGATTAGAAGGCTCCTCAGCTCCTCCTCGCTTTTGGCTATCAGAGTGGTGTCATCTGCATATCTGAGGTTGTTAATGTTTCTTCCAGCAATCTTAACCCCAGCCTTGCATTCATCAAGCCCCCCTCTCTCTCTGTACTTCCCAGCAAAATAGATATGTATGACATAAGTAGTAGTAGTTGTAACAGTAATAGCAGTATTTACATCCTGCATTATGACTATTCTGAATCTCAGTCTTTTATATATTAGTTTGTGCTGCCAGGGGTTGGTACAGTTATCGGTTTTACATTACTATGGTGTTTTAATAGTCCAGAAATAAGTAAAGTTATGAGATCATACTTTAATCAGCAGGAAATAGCTCCTGACTGTATCAATCTGTTCCCATTTTATTTATAATCTGCTCTGCCCGTCTGTTCTTAATCATAGTGTTGTTTCATAATTTCATTGATTGTATTGTTCTGAAGACACCCCCAGCATTTGTGGAGTGCAAGTGACTTTTGCTTTTTGAATAGCTTGCATCTATTTATATAAGCTGAGGACAGAGGGGAAAGCACAAGGAGAGAGAAACTGGAACATTTAAAAGCAGCTAAAAAGTGGGACGACAGAGGATTAATCAAGACTGTCCTCCTAAATGGGAACAAATGTTCTTATCAATAACATAATTTTAGAAAATACAGCATCTTTGTGCAAACATAGCTGTCAATCATTTGTACTGCAGGCTGCGTATTTATGATACAAGTAACAAGAGTAACTTAACAATGCCAAAGCAAAACCCTTCACCGTGCCAAACTATGCACAACACAGCATGATCCAAAATGTGTGTACTACTTCCATTTGAACTGTAGTCTCATCTTTAGACAAATTAACTGAAGGCAAGTAAAGATTTGACAAATATAAAAAGTGACCAATACGTGGAAGAATGATTATTCTGTGTCCTAATCTTGTTGTGTATCAAATAATAATATTAGGACACAGCAAACAAGATCACTATGCTAGCTTTTGTATTTGAGGTCAGACACTTCACAAGTGTCTAGGACTGTGTGATGTATTGGCGAATAATGTGTGCAGATCCAAGTAGGGTGGCCCTTTTCAGGCTGACAGATGGTGATTTTGTCAGCACGGATTGTTTTTAAGTGCAGGCCAAGTCTTTAAGCACTGCACTCAGTGTGCTGAGCACCACTGGGACCACCTTTACTGGCTTGTCCCAGAGTCTTTGCAGTTCGATCTTTAAATCCTCATATCGTGTAAGCTTTTCCAGTTATTATTATGTCATCAGCTTTCAGTCATGTCTCTTATATCAAAGAATGTCTCTTTCAACCTTGCTCTTTTCAGGGCATCACAGTTGGACAAAACATATTATGATTTTTTTTAAAAAAAACTTGTACATTTTAGACATAAGAACATTGGGTTTGCTGATTTTGACACCAAAACCTTTTGAAATACCGCAATGATAACTTCACACGGTCCTTTTGTGGCCTTACCTCTCTTTTCCAGAGTCTCCTGTAGTGAGAGGGAGTCCTTGGATCGGTGGGTTGCCTGGGCCACCATGAATGTTGTGTCCTGGTGAACTGTGGCTCACAGAGAGTGACGAGGTCATAACATCTACTGCCGTTGTACTTCGGCTTGACTGATTACTTGAGAACAGTGCAGCTGCAATAAAAGCAAAAACATCTATGCGTTATATAATAATAATAAATATAATAATAAAACGTTAATAAAAATTATGATTTTTGCAGACTCCTCATGCAGACTGAGCATTTCAGATATGTGAAGAAGATAAATCAACCTTAAAGGTACAGCAGTGTAAAAACAACAACCGTGACAGTCTTTTGAAAAGAATCACAAATCTCTGAAAACAAGTTCTGATCTTTGTTTGAAAAATTGTAACATTTGATATGAGCTATTTTGTACTACAAGAAGAAGAACACATTCTTCATTGCTGTAGTTTTCCTTGGTTAGAAGTGAGAGGCTGGTTCATCCTTCAAGAACCATGAGCAGAACCTATTTATTGCTTGAAACGGAACAGAGAAAATGGTTGGAACCTGACAGAAAAATAGCAGCCTTTCTATAGATCAGTACCTGTCCTGGATGAAAGTACTGTCATACATGTCACAATGACTCAAGGCAGGACTGCCTCCCAAGTCCAATAAGACAGCTTCCATATTTGAACCAATCCTAAACGCATATGACTGACCCTCCCCAGCCTACACACACATTTTTATCCTGTTCTCCTTGTCTCCATCTTTGCTTCTTCTCTGTCTTCTCCCACTCACTAGCAAAATGTTGAGGTCTTTCAGATATACATCTCCTTAAAAGAAAGTTTCTGTATAAAACACCATGTATTTGGGTGGCATGATTCTTAACATTAAAGTTTGGAAAATATAAAAACAATTTACACTGGCTGAAGACTGAAATCCATCTCCAACCTTTTCTTGATACTTCCAAATAACTGGAGATTTCTTACTTGGATTGGTTTTGTAGTCCAATTCTTCTTGATACTCCAACCTTCAGTTTCCTCAGGACACAAACCTCTCAGAACCCCACCTTCACTAAAGTCCAACCTTCCAAAACCTCAGCAAGAAGCAGCTCTTTTGCTCCTTTATTACCCTGGCTGTAATTGCACAATGCTAGCCAGGTGGTTTGGCTCTTTTTGCTTGCTGCCCTGATCCTTACACTACTTGTTGCTTAAGAAATGATAAAAACTCTAACAAAAGGTGTCTCAATTTAAGCTTTATCAGCAATCCTTGTTTCTACTACAAGCCAATTTTTTTAATCCACTTATCAGAGAGACAGACAGCGAGGCAAACCAGAACAAGGGGGCAGTCAGCTAAGGAAACATTACATGGGTGTTAACCATTCCCTATGCTATCAAAAGTTTGAGTGTGTGTGTGTGAAGATAGATAGATAGATAGATAGATAGATAGATAGATAGATAGATAGATAGATAGACAGACAGACAGACAGACAGACAGATAGGCTGGAGTTACACTTAAAACATGTGCCTGTTCCAACTTACATACAAATTCAACTTAAGAACTACAGAACCTAACTTGTTCATAACTTGGGGACTGCCTGTATTATATCTACTGAAAATGTAATAGATATATATTCAGTACATGGGTATAGCTAGAAAAAATTCATGTCAAAAATGAAGAGAGTATGGCACCAGGAGCTGAAAAACCATAATTCAGACTCCATTTAAAACAAATCAGCATTGTGAAAGATAAACTGTCACATTTCAGTGACAGGGTTGCCATGTTTCGGGTGCCAGCTGAAATCTCAGGGGACTGATATGTTTCTACAAGTCTCCAGATAAAAAGACAAATCTCAGGGCTTCAAAGGTCTTGGCTCCCAGCCCTTTCCCACTCTCTTTAAGCAACAGGGCCCAATGACTATGTATTTTGAAGTGGTGAGTGAGATTTAGGAAAGCTTTCTGGGGCCTTATAAGTTTTTCCCTACTGTCATTACTTGTTTTTCCTTCTTAGCCATGCTTCTGAAGAAATAATTTTACAGCAACAAATTTCTCCTTCAACAAGTAGAAAAATCCATTGCAATTGTAAATTTACAGTGGTATCTACCATCAACATAGCAACAAGAAGATCTCTGTATGCAGATCTCTGGGAAGGATTTGTACGTGAATTGCACCCATGGGACAGCTACAATAACTGTGGGGTTTTTTTTTACACTGATTAAGGAAACCTTAACGCAGCGTTTGACATTTACTCTGATGGTTTTCAAAAAGGCATTTGAGGTGGATGAGTCAGTTTCAGGAATGTTATTGGTTTCATTAGCTCATATCTATCCCATCATTCCTCCAAAGAGTTCATGCATTGCTTCCCCTTTCCTTAATCCTCACAACCATCATCTCGAGTAGATTTGTCTAAGAGTGAATGTTTGGTCCAGTATCCTCCAGCAAGTTTCATGGTTCAATGGGACCTAGAATGTGGATCTTCCAAGTCCCAGTCCCAGTCTCTAAAGTGAAACCTTTTATAAACAGTAAGCCTTAAAACATCTTGTTTTAATCATGTTTTTGTGGGTGCATTTGCAGAAAAGCAGAATGAAGATGAGAAGTATGAACACACAAGTAGTCTATATGTGTTCGTGCTCACACCACTTTCTGGAAGAGTATTTTTTTTAAATATTCCACAGAGTTATTTTATAGAAAACACATTTAATGAAGAGTAATAATGATGGTGGTGTTAAGGGGAAGAGGAGACGATATCCAGACTCTTGTGTTCATCATAAGTAGTGGAACACTGGAAATAAGGCTTGTTCATGCACAGCTGGGACTCAAATGTTTCTGTGCCAATGAAGTGTTCAGTCTAATTAATAATAGACATAAATGAAAAGATCCAATACCAATTAAACTAGGCAGTTTCTAAATCATACTAAGCTCTTTTCAGGGGACACGGACTGGAATCCTATTGAGCAATTAAGACTATATAACAAATGTAGTTGTTACAAGCAGTCCCCAAATTACTAACAAGATAGGTTCTGTAGGTTTGTTCTTAAGTTTGATTTGTATGTAAGTCAGAACAGGGACATTTTAAAGTGTAGCTCCAGCCATATGTGTGTGTGTGTGTGTGTGTGTGTATGGCTGGAGCTACACTTAAAAATGCCCCTGTTCTGACTTAGATATATATTTAAAAAATTGGCCCATTGTGGAAAAAAAGATTAGTGATAGAGCTTCACCTTTTCCCCATGATAACTCTTCTAGGAGTGAATTTCCCTTCCAAGGGCTTGATTTTTCTCACTTGCTGTTGTCTAATCCCCTCTCTTAACTATGAGTCATTTGTAACTCGAGGACTGCCTGTAGTTACTGAGTTTTGTGCAGTGAATTATTTGCCCAACCTCTTCCCTTGTTCCTCAGGGAAGAGCTGACTCCCATTTCTACACTCTCCTGTGAGTGATCTCCACTGCAAGAGACAGAATTAGGGTCTCTCTCACAATTCCCCCCATTTTGGAAGGAGTGAGTCAGAATGGCAGTCAGCTGCTTTCCAGATGACATTGGTTTGGGTCCAAAATTATGGACTTTGATATGAACCATGGATAAGTTGTGGGCCATTCCATGGAGAGGGGAAAGTATGCAGCCTCAGGGAAGCCACTCACCCCTGAGCATCGCCAGCATTTTTCCCAACCAGTGGGAGGTGGGTTCAGTGCTTCTTTTAGGTTTTCCCACAATGGACCAAGCTCTTACCTTTTACAACTCTACTCAGAGAAGGTGATGGTTCCTTTTTTGATAAGAGTCACACTGACCCATGGATAAGTCATCCCAAGTTTTTGAGTTGATTTTTTAACTAAAAAATCTAGATTTATACATGAGTATGTAGGGTAGATATCCAAATCTTATTTTGTTCATGCAAAGAAGAACCAGAAATTTCAAATGTTCTTCTTTCCATCAGGCATCTGGCATTCTCATTTGGTTCTTGTTTTGCACATTCTTCAATTGTTTATATTTAAAGACTTTTTCTGAGAAAATTAACAATGTTTTGGGAAAATAGGATTTTTTTGGTGCAAAAATTGTATTATTATAAGGGGTTCTAGGGATTTTTTTAAAAAAAATGCTTTGTGTTTGCAAGAGAGAGAGAGAGAGAGAGAGAGAGAGAGAGATTTGAAATGTGAAATAATAACAAATGTAATAATTCCCAGCACTTAAATATTATATTAGTGGGTAGCTTGTTTTGTTGAGCCCTTTTATATCTTAAAATAGCAGTTGTGAGCATTGTTTATATTCCAATAGTAGGTCTGAAGTACCTACTGGAGGCTCCTTTAATGAGTATTCTGACCCTCATGTATGCTTCACATAAAAAATGGTTAGGAAGCAGTGCAAGACATTAAATGTCTCTTCCCCTCCACACTATCCTTGTTTCTCCCACACATTATTTTGGAGTTGTTACACAAGGGACCACCCCATGAGACCTTAGGTTTTGGCCATGAAATTTCAGGGAATGGGAAGCTGCTGACCTGGCAACTCTTGTCATAACATAAATCCAGAAAGCGCCATTTGAAGCATGGCTTTCATCTATCAATAATAAAGCTCTATAAAATAATTTTGGAGCAGCAGCTTCAGAAGTTATACAATACAATGGGAGAAGTGTTTAAAACTGAATGTGTTAGAAGATTTGAATTACAATATATATCCATGGGCTGAAATATTTGTTCTAGATGTTTTGGACTTTCGTTTCCAGAATCCCTGACCATTTGACACACCACCTGGGGTTTCTGGGAGTTTTCCAAAAGACCTGACCTGGAGGATGGAAGGTTGAGAACTAGTGAGATAGAAGCTATGCAGAGAGAAAGCGGGGAGTACTGAAAGAAAGAAGTTGAGCATGTAATCAACACTTGGGATAATTACTGATCTTGTGCCTGACACATATATGATGATTATCATAGCACAAAAAGTTACTGGAAACTGATATCGCAAGGCACTGTAAAATAATACACCATTCTTTGCTTTTAGCACTAACATTTTGCTTACAGGGATTGTTAAAAGAACAAGACATGTTAATCTAGTGTAAAATCTAATAACTGCTATAACATACACAGCAAAACACGGAAAATCTGCAATCAAGCCTTTAGAAGGAGGAGTGGTTTCAAGAACCAGGGGAAACAATATTTATGAACATATTGACAGCATTAAAAGAAACTTG